CTGTCTAAAATGTTTATTTTGGAATAAAGAGGTTAATATAAAAAATATTTTTTGTCCGATTCATCGATTAATCGAAAAAATAATCGTCCGATTCATCGATTTTTAAAATAATCGTTAGTTGCAGCCCTAAAACAAGGATTCTTCTTCTTCTTCTTCCTCTCAGATGAAAACGCAGAAGCATGGCGGGGTACCAGTGAAATGGAGTTCTTTCTGTAAAATTGTCAGACCGTACTAGCCACGTTTGCTCAGCCATGTGTTTTTCCAAATACATCGTTGCCTTTTCTTCTTAGGGCTTTCAGCACACAAAATTGCACAATTTGCCAAGGCAGCGCATTTCACTCTAGTGAGCTTGATATTCCTCTTCTGCTCGTTTGGCTTCCAGATAGGCAAGTCCGAGTAGAGCCATCTCACCGCGGAGCTAAGTCGGACATGGTTTTTAGACGTACAGTATGAGCAGATAGATCGCATCAGAGCGTCGGGCTATACAGTGTGAGAAGTTACATCGTGAGCTGTGAACTCACACTGTACGATGAAACTGCACGGTTTCTTCATACAGTTTATATCATTCACCTGCCTACCTTTGCCCAGTTTTCAATATCACTCATCAGATCCAGCTGTGCCTGTTCCTATTTAAACAGCTTGTTCCCATCCATCAGTGCCAGATTATTCTAGCCATAGGTGAGAGTTCTGTAGCGTACCCGGTGTGTTTATTCTGATTGCTTGATCCTGACTAGTTTCTGTTCTTGGATTCTGAGTTTGCTTGCCCATGTGCAGATCTTTTTTTCTGAGCTGTCTTCGGACTTCCATTGGTTTCTGCCTGCTAACGACCTTGAATCTGTCTCCCGACTATGGGTGTAAATCACATCCATCATGGCGATTCGATTCAGTATCGATTTCCTGACCCAACGATTCGATTATTTTCGATACGCAAGAATACACCATGATACGATTCGATTCGATTAATCGGTAAATTTTAAATTTTTTTTTTAAAGCTTACAGGCTAAACAAAGTTTAAAGTTTGAAATAAATCAATGAAAGCTGTAATATCGTTATGCATTTTTTTTAAACAACAGCAAATAACAGAAGTAGAAAAGTTTCATCAAAAAATACTGCACAAAATCAGTGCAATGAGTTCAATGCAATACCTCGGCTCCAGACGTCCCCGCCCCCTTGAGAGACGCTCCGCTGCACCTCTCCCAAATTGTAGCTGACCACAAACAGTGAGGAGGCCGGCTTGTTTTGTTTTTATGACTGAAATTGCGGAAAACAACTAGTGAAGTTTGACCCGCTAGAAGAGCGAGATGCGCAAGAACGCTGGGACCCTTTTCCCACCTGAATCTCCGCTCTTTTTGGCCCTCGTGTCCCTCCATCGTCGGACTAAACTCACCCCCACTTCCTCGCCGGCTCGGCCGTATCTAGACCCACAGCGTGTAGCACAGACCACGCTTCAATATTGAGCATAATTTAAAAATGTCTGTGTCAAGCTTACTGCAACACACTGCTGTAAGAGTATAACCAGGAAGCGAGGTAGGAGGGCAAAATAGGTTTAGCGCCACCGCAGCACGGAAGGGGGAATTATGCCCAGGAGCAAACGGATAAAAATAGACCAGAGGAAAAAAAAAAAACATGAATCGATTCTCTTGCGGACGTGTCGATGCATCGGATCGTCGGCCGTTGGATTGATGCATTGATACAAAACAATTATTATTTACACCCCTACTCCCGACCAGAGTTGGATTTCCCTTTAGTACCTATTTGGATCTGCTTCCCCATCAACACCGGCTTTGGATTCTCCTTCCGGATACTCATGCTCTACTTGGTCTTCTGGCTTCTGCTTGTTTGTCTGCTCTGCAGCACCTTTGGCTTTTACTCTTGGAACTCTCTGGGCAGCTTCCACCGCATGCTGTGGAGAAATCATCCGACTGGATTCCACTCCTTCCTCTGGGCTTGGACTGAACTTAAAAACCAGGTTAGTGACTCACTCGCTTGCTATCGTTCCCTGTTATGTGGTCACTAACCTGAGTTTCAACTTCTAAAGAGATTCAAGTCATCTAGTCCAAGTTGAGGAGCCACAGATCCCTGAGCAGTTAATAAATGCTGTTTATAAATCGCTTCAGTCTGTGTGCCTCAATTCTGGATCCAACGTTCTGAGTCCTGACACAGCTGCTATAACTTAGAGCTTGAGAATAGCTTTGCTAACCCCGGCACCAGTATTAGTTCTGATCTTGGACTTTTTTGCTTTCCTTTTGCACTTTTGCTCCGAAAAATTTTCTTTTTTTATTTTTTATTTTGTTTGTTTAAAAAGTCAATGTATATAACATGGATGCATAAACTCCTCATTTTATTTCATTATTAAATTCTGTTTAAAGTAACAGATTATAATTAAAAATTTCTCCGGACCTTTACTGGTTGTTGATTTTCTTTATTTGGACCCCGCTGATTTTTAATTGGTTACCCCTGCTCTACACCTTTGTTATTACAATATAATTCCTCTGATCACTTGGTCTTGTTATGATAAGTAAACAGGTGGCACATTGTTCAGTTAAAAAAACTGCAAAATCAAAATGTATAACAGAGCTGAAATAAAATAATCCACAGTTTGCAATTATTTAATCTGCACACTATTGTATGCAACTAAAGTGAGCTGCTGGTGGAGCAATTTGTATATTCTTATTACGTGACCAGCAGGCCGGGACAATAAACCGTATTTTTACTGTCATTCGCTACCATAACCAGCGACAAATTTTCGATGTCGGTAAAAGAAATAAAGTCAATTCTGCCGTTTTTTCCGGTGTGTGAAGGTGGCTGGTATTTCTGATCACCTTGAAGACACTGCAGTATATGGGGAATCATGTAACTCCACCCATCCAGTCATAAGCGTAAACAGAGAATGACGGATGAGTCCAGTGAAGAAGCGAGCATAGATGAAACAATGGGTGAGTGCAGGTTGTCAGATTGAACAGCGTGGCAGACTGGTTTTGAACAAGGATACGTGTATTTATGCACATTGTTCTTAAGTCACGCTTAGTTCGATGGCACCAAAACGCCATAGATGTTGAGCAAAAGAACACGAAATGCAACATATCCAACCTCCTTCCTACAGCACGACTATGCTGTTGAGTTCAAAGATGTGCAAAAGGCTCCGTTACCTTTGCACAAAAATGTTTGCAAGAGAGGAAACATTTTTCTTCTGTTCAATGAGACATTGTTGAATTTTATGGTTACAAGACTTTTATATTTCATTGAAAGTAGTTTGTGATGTCATTTGGTCAATACATAAATAAAAATAGGTATTTTGCATTTCTTGCACATGCCATTATTTTCATATAGAGAAGCATTTATCATGCATTCATCATTATTAAGGTAAAACTGTCCAATTTATCATGGTAATGATTTGAGGTCATATCACCCCGCTCTAGTGACCAGGTTCCGTTAAAGCTAATGAGAAACTTTGAATATAGTCAATAAAGATTCAGAATGAGTACAGGGGTAAAGCCTGATGGCAAAGCAGAAAACACAGCAGACAGCCAAATCCTTTCTTCAAAGGATCGTGCTAATTTTGAATGCTATTCATTTTTACAAGGCTTTCCAGCTCATATTTTGCTAGCTGAAAAAAACAATAGGCAGTTGAGCTAGATAAAAAAAGATAGCAGACCATAGGATCACAATATCAGTACGTCAGTGTTCGTATTCATCTTTTGTGTGGTTTTCTTTAAAAGAACAGCACCACATGCCAGGGTAGACAAAAAACAACATCAAACAAACACGATGGCCGTCACTCACCAGGTAACATGGAAAGCCTGCCTGCAGCCCTGCCTGTTGCAGGTCATGCAGGCGCCACAGGCCGCCTTGCTCTCCCTCCCATGGTCCTCGCAGATGTAACACGTCTGGACAGCAGAGGAGACCAAAGAAAGACGGAAATATCATTCATTAACAACGCCATGTGCAGTGGTTGTACCATTGTGGCCAGGGCAAACACATAAAAGGGAATCACTATGAATAAAAGATTAAACACTTGTTAATTTGAGCACAGCTGGTGCTCTACTGTAAATGATTAGGATGTTTAGTGGAGAGGGTTTTAAAACAAAACAGACTCTTGAACGCTTGATACGGTTGAACTGTGCAGCAGATGTTTAGGAGAGCCACAGAGACTTTGTATTCTAGTTTCACCATTATTAAAGTATTATTAATAGTGTTCACAACTTCAGAAAACAATGTGCCACTGAATCACAACATTTGGTAAACCTTTATCTGAGACTAAACATCTCCTGTTTAGGGTCACATTGTGCTACCAAAATCATTTCCCTTTTTTTATATAAACCTAAACCATCAGCTGAAATGAGCTGAAACGAACAAGCTTTTGTATTTATCCATCGGCGTCCCCTCGGCAAGCAGGGCAGACTGGTGGGGGGCAGGAGAGGCCTAGCAACAGGTGCGAGACAAAGGAACAGCAGGCTCTTCACCTTTTCACTCTGGCTGTCTCCTTTTTTGCTTTTCCCCTCCTTTTTCCCCTTAACTCCCCACATCCAACAGAGCTCTCCGTTTCCCTCTCAGAGAAAGACGACCGTTCAGTGAAAAGCCAGAGACACAGCCACACCGAGTGTGCAAAGGGAAGAGTGGCTTCTAAGGTTTTCCCTGTCCATTGTGAGGTTGTCAAGGAATGCGAGCCCGGAAAAAAAAAATCGAAATAAGCCTCCGACTGAGGCGAAAAAGCTGCATACAATTTACTGTAGCTGACAGTAACATGAAACCAGGCACTCAAACACTCGCCATCTGCATTTATATGCAGCCATATGCATGAAAACTTCAAAGACACCAGATTCTCAACATGATCCTATGATTTCCCTTTAGGAAGGCCTGTGTGATCCAAAACATATTTTTATAGTTGAACAGCTGGAGAAAGAGTTAATTCATCCATTCTTTTTTACTATGTGAGGGCTGAGATCTTTACGGTTATTAATGCGGTCTACCCAGTCCTTCTGAAGGTCTGCAGATAATAACTATTACACAATTAACACTAGTATTAACCTCTACTAAACATTAAAAAGAAATGTTGGTTTTTAACTTAAGGTTTCAAACCGTGTGGTTCTTCTCTTCATGTGGTTGAAATGGCTTTAAGCCCTTTCAAACGGATGCAAGAAGAAGTACCTGGAGTTTTCTTTACCTAACAGGAGCCCCTCTCCCACCTGTTGCTACAAACTGCCAGTCAACTGCATACATATACATTACTACAGCTTACCTTTGCCTACAGCAAAGACAAATTAAGTGGAAAAATGTCTGACTGTAGTAAAAAAAAAGAATAAAATCACAGCTAAGGTGTCGAAAATAAAGCCGAGCCACCCGTAATAACATGTTAAAAGTACACTTGGAAAATTATTAGCAGCTTCTTGAATGGTAAACAAATGCCTGCAATGTGGGTATTGATGCAGAAAGCTCAACTAAAAAGAAAAAAACATGCATTTTTTACCTTATTAAGAGGAAAAAGGCAGAAAGGTCTAACAATCTCTGAGCATGAAGTACATAAAAGCTTCAATATTTACAAGTTTTCTCCATTTAAAATCAAAGGAAGGATAAAAGCCATTTCGTTATCATGTTATTATGTATTGCATTTAGGGTAAATGAGCAACAACAGAGCTATTTAAATTGGATTTCATAACTAGGAATGTTAGGGATAGACTATGTAAATGTAAACAAATAATCGGATTCATCCGATTATTTGTTTACATTTACATAGATTAATCATCAATTAATATATTAATTAATCAATTACTCCTGATTAATCAATTATTGAAATAATCGTTGCTCAGTGGCGCAGTGGGTAGCACTGCTGCCTTGCAGCAAGAAGGTTCTGGGTTTGATTCCCAGCCCAGGGTCTTTCTGCATGGAGTTTGCATGTTCTCCCTGAGCATGCGTGGGTTCTCTCTGGGTACTCTGGCTTCCTCCCACAGTCCAAAACCATGACTGTCAGGTTAATTGGCTTCTCTAAATTCTGCTTATGAGTGTGTGTGTGTGAATGGTTGTTTGTTCTGTTCGTCTCTGCGATGAACTCGCGACCTCTCGCCCATTGACAACTGGATATAGGCACCAGCACCCCTCGCGACCCCACTTGGAAGTAAGCGTGTTAGAAAATGGATGGATGGAGTATGCTATATCCAGAACTCATCAACTGGAAACATTTTAGTTTCACCTGCTTTATTTTCGTAAAAAACTCTTCCTTTATTCGATTAATCAAAAAAATTACTGACAGATTAACTGATTTGCAAAGTAATCGTTAGTTGCAGCCCTAATAGAGAGATAAGAATAGGAAAGATTTTTCATTGTCAAATTATTAAGAATTTGCCATCGTCACTAAATAAACAAAACTACAAAGTCTGATCATTCTCATACAGCTCTATGCAGCTTTTTGAGTTTAATGACCAGTTTATAGATCATTTAACTTTATCCAATGTAGGGATTTCACTATATTATTAAACAGGTTTTTCCAGAAAGATTTAAGCAGATTTGAACCAAAGTTGTACATGTACTTCCCCAATTTAACTTAGGATACTCATTTCTATCTAGTTTACAGAGTGTGACCTTTTTAAATAGATCCTAATGTCTGGATTGTATTGACCTTATCATTACTGTATTCTATTCTATTGAAATCAATCAATACCTAGGGACAAATATTTAGAAAAATGTTGATATGATTGCAGACAACCAAAATTCCTCTTTCTCACACTATGATGTGTTGCTGATGGAAAATGTACCAGTCAAAATCTGAAAGGTTAAAATATATATAAGAAACCAACAGCTAGGAAAAAGTCAGATGGGTTGATCCCTGTTTAAATTAAAAGCACTAACATGGTGTTAATACATTTTTATTAATTTCTTTGGTGTCAGAACAGTAAAAAGTCTGAAAATGTTATGAGTCCACAGTAAAATATTACAATTTATGATAAAAATAACCTTTTATTTAATATCCTAAATAAGTCTAAAGCCTTTCAGTTACTTTTGCAAATCTTAAATCTAGTCAATACAACAGTCCCCCCCCCTTTTTTAAAAAAAAATATAAAAGAGCGTATTTGTTTTATGCCAAATCTGCTCTTACTGAAAATCTTCCAGAGTTCCCAGAACAGCTGCTGTGACCTCGCCACAAGCAAGCTCATGGTTTTTACAGGACGTGTAGGTGGGAGCAAAGTGACGGGGACGCGAAGCAGAACAGCTTTCTCTTCTTTCAGGCAGGTTTTTCTCTTCCCTCATGAGCTTAGACATCATGTAATCATGATTTGTCATAGAAGCACCAGAGAACTGATATCAAATTTCTCAGAGTAGATTATGATCTGAATACACGCATCTGTAAGAAAGCTGTTCAAACTGTCATTTCCCCAACATGTACCGGTAAGATAGACACTGTTATCAGAAAGAATTAATTAGGAGTTGAACCTCAGGATTACGAGCAATAAAGGTTTTGAAGACATTTATAGATCAGTTGGTATTTTAATTAAATGGGTTTGAGTACTTATAAACCTAAACAACAAAAACACTATCAGCCAAAGACATTATAAATAGCAGCCCCAGAAAAATCCGTCCTCAGGGGCACAGACTGGTTACATCTAGGGATGTCCAATGAGTTTTCCTTTCTGATGCAATATCTAGACTGCAGCTATGATTATTGCCCAATGGTGATAACGATCAGATATTATATCAGTACCAATTATACATAATATTATTGCTAATTTCTTAGTCAACAAGCATAGGACCCCTATAATATTAAACAATTAGTTACATTAACCAAAACAGAAGTGGGGCATTTCTATGAGTTTGATTACATCAGTGAATTTAGATGCAGGTTGACATATTTAGATGTTTTTTCTCGCTGATATCAGACCGATTTCCAGCATCAGTATTGAATTGAAAGTAATTTCCCTTTGGGATATAAAAGAATGTCTGATTCTGATTCGGGAAATCCATAGCTCAATTTTATAAAACCAACACTGCTACTAACAGAACAATCATTCAACTGGGATCTCTATTAAAACATTAAGATTGCAGACAGTGAACCACATGTGAATCCTTATCATATTTTCATATATTTTTCTTTAATATAGGATTCTGATAGGATCAGTTAGAAGAAATTTTTATTTGATCTTTTAAAAGATCAGTAAACACACCAACCCCGGTCCAATTAGGCCTCTGATTGGTTTATTCAAATGCAGGGGAGGCATACAACAGTATCTCCTGACGAATTATTATACACAAAAAAAGAAAATCACATGACATAACTATTTGGCTTAGGGGAAACCGTTTTGGTTACCAACTCTCTAAAAACTTGCTCTTTCTCTCCAATATAAACTGTATTCCCAGCTTGCCTGTGTAAATTCTCAGTCATCCAAAGGGAACCAGACGTTCACTCAGTTTTAGAATTCGCAGCTTGTGCACGAACAGTGTACCTATAGAAAACATCAAATATCGTAAGCTGATGTCTGCTCATATGAAATCTTATAGATATGAAGAAGTGCTGCATATCCAGACCTTCAGCTTTACTTATTTATTTATTTTTACAAGTGAAGGTGTTAATGACTCTGGTGTTCTTGTAGCCTGTCCAGCCAGACTGATTTAGCCCGTGTAAAATGCGCATAAGTCTGAAAAACTAGGATGAGAAGCAAAACTGTCATTTTCTTTTATTATATAAAAAAAAAGAAAAGCTCTTACATCATCCAGTTCTTCAAAACATAAAGATATATCCAGCTCATTTGGGCATTATGAAAATATTGCTCTGTTGCTGCAGCAATCTTAACTGTTACTGTTACAGAAAAGGGCTGCTGAATTATGGGTAATTCCGACTCAAGCATAAACTTCAGCCTCAAGCTCTGTGATTGGTCTGGTCTGTTTTACACTGGAGAATTTGAGCCTTACCAGAATGACGTACACTTGATGAAAGTTAGTCTGGCCAGGCTTGGCTTTATGGGAACCTTACAGCACTAATCCCCCCCACAGGTGTTAAACATAAAATAGAAGAATTAACTCTCGGAGGAGGCCTCATGGAAGGCCCAGGACACGCTGGAGGGACTATGTCTCTGAGCTGGCCTAGTGTCGCCTTGGGTTCCCCCCCAGAGATGCTGGAGGAAGTGTGTGTGGATCGGGACATTTGGGAATATTTGCTTAGACAGCTCAACCCGCCCCGGATAAGCACAAGAAAATGAAAGGATGGATAACTTACTCTCCTCCTGAAGCCATTTTGAGAAACAAAATGATTCTTAGCACAGCCTTTAATGGACACATTGTCATTAAGAAAAGCCAATACACTTATCCTTGTATCTCATACCACAAACGTGATTCGAACCATAGTTCAACAACCAACAACCAAATGCATCCATCTCTGCCTAAAACTTTTTTTTATCCTTGCTCTCTTCTCCACAGTTGCCACAGGTAACTTTTATCAGCTCGCTCATTTAAACACCCAATAGCTGCCTTTCCATTAACCATCAAATTACCCAAATTTTAATTAAAGAAAACTAAATTTGCTAAATGGAAACACTGCAATTTCAGAAATTTTTTTTAAATAAAAGTTTTAACGCTTTGATGGGGTGTTTTTTTTTTTTGCTTGCATCAAAATTCCTAAATTTTGCAAACCTGCAATGGAAACACTTTTTTTGCATTACACGAGTTGGGAGCTGCAGCCGCACCTTACTGCCTTGTAAAAAGACGCAGAAGAAGACCATAAGTTGTTGGAGGATGATGGCGCCCTCTAAGCTGACATATGGATACATAGATTGATCTCATAAACAAACGTATTCACCTGCAATTTTAAAGTCGTAGGGAACGGCTGTTCCAACGGTTGCAGCTCTGTATTCTCTCGAGTGGTGCACAAGTTTACACAAATGAATAAAGTGAATGTGATTGGTCGATTATCAAGGATTGTCTTGGCAGAAGGTTCGCAAGCATCTTGCTAACCAGTTAGCAACTTAGTGCTAGTAGGTTTCCAATGGGAAATTACATTGGGACCAAGTAGCACTTAGCAATGACACTGTCAAGGAACGCTATGGACGGCGGAAACAGGCAAGAGGAGGAGAGTTTTTTGTTGGAGGTCGTGGATGAGTCTCCTCCATCATACATTTTTTATTTAGAGAAGGAAAGTGGGGACGAAGATGTTGTGGAAGAGGACGCCAGGGCGGCAGAAGCTTGGTTTGGCGTAGAAGGCTTACAGTCGTAAATGTTTGAGCCCTTGCCTCGCAACACTGGCAGTTCTGTTAGCCCTACACCTGCTGAAGACACAGACGTCCATCCCCGTAAATACGGGGACACAACTCAATGGTAAAGGAAATCGTTCTTATTTCAACCTTGATTAACAGATGACGTTGATATATGATTGGCCAAATTTGGATATATATATATATATATATATATATATATATATATATATATATATTAGGGATGGAACGGTTTATGAAAACCGTCCGAACCGTTCGGTTCGACTGTCTTGGTTCGATTCACGTGTGTTGCGTTCGGTTCAGGCGCAGCTCCTTTTTCTCATAGGCGAAGCGTGTACACTCCAGAGCAGAAGATGGCGGTACTGCGACCAAAGCCAACCACCAGTAGTAAACAAGTAGAAGAAGCCAAACAGCGTAGCCGGGTGTAGCAGAAAATAAAGCAGTTGTTGTGGAGAATTGTGTGGGTATGGCGAGTGGGAAAGAACGGGAGTTGGAAGACGCACCAGTAGTAGGGTTGTCAAAAGTATCGATACTCAAAAAAGTATCGATACTGAAACGTTGTATCCGGATACAATACTCATTTTCAAAAGTATCGATACAGCCATCAAAGGTGCAGAATAGTGGAAAATGCACTTTCTGAACACTGTGTGATTGAATAATTCTGTGCATTTTTCAGTTTCAGACTTTTTTTTTTAACAGGTGCAGCTGCTGAGAATTATTTTTGCTTAACTGGTTTGGCTAGTGTCATTATAATGTCTGCAAAGCATAGCCAAGGAAGGAACATTTAATTTTAATTTTGTAAGTTTTTTTATCAAGCTTGCTTAATACTGGGCACAGCATACAACCCCAAAATATTATTGTTTTTTATTTATTTATTGTATTTTTTTAATAGTGAAAATATTTCTGTTGAATTTTAGTGTCTTTGTTTCTATCCTTGTGGTATCGAAAAGGGTATCGAGTATCGAATATTTTACTTAGTATCGGTATCGAGTTGAAAAGTTTAGTATCGTGACAACCCTAACCAGCAGCACTTTATACATCTGCTGTATGGGACCACTTTGCATTTAGAGTGACCTACGATGACGGCGGAAAGAAAGTTGTAAATAAAAACAGTGTGCAAGTTGTAAATAAAAACAGTGTGCAAGTTGTAAATAAAAACAGTGTGCAAGCATTGTGCAACACGTTTTGTTTATGCTAACAGCAACACGACCAACATGTCATGCTAACAATCAACATACAAACCGTGACCACGAAACCGTGAACCGAACCAAACCGTGGATTTTGTGAACCGTTCCATCCCTGATATATATATATATATATATATATATATATATATATATATATATACTGAGTAGAGATCCTACACCATCAAATGACACCTGTTCATTATTATAATATTACAACATGTTTTCTACTTAAATGAGAGTGTTTGTACCTTCAGATATCTCTCATGTGGGACATACTGTAGGATGATGGGCTCCATGGTGAGAACGTTGGCAAACTGAACCTCTGGGATGTAGAGCGCGCACACAACATGGGCCCAGCCTAATCAGCAGATAGATTAAAGGAAGATGACAAGGTTCTTTAAGAGCATCTTTACTCTCTTTTAGGGTAAAGATGGAGATCTCAGAGGAACATCAGGACAATTAAGGCAGGCAGAGACTTACCACCACTGTCTGTCCTTTTAAGGGCTCCATCCTTATGGGGACACAGCTCACATCTCTGAGGCAAAAAAAGGAAGTAGAGCTAGTTTTAAGAGGAAAGTTTCTCATCATCAATAAAAAAGAGAGAGACAAAGATGTTGGCATACTCACTACTCGTGCTGCTCGTTCCTGAGATTCACATTTCCTGCAGAACCATGGGCCGGTGGGAACCTGGACAATGCCATAGCATGCTGGGACAGACAAACAAACAAAACCGGCCATAAAAATTTACATTTTGGTTTTGAAAAAAATTAAATCCCAAACATGCAAGAACTTTTCCTGTTAAAATATATTCCTCCAAAACATAGGTATGATCTTATTCCACCAAATAATTTCAGAGAAGCAAAACCTGCAGATTACATCTGGAAAAACTATTGAAATTAAAAAAGCGCAGCTGACAACTTTTGTTATCTAAACAGGTAAAAAAAAGAGTAACTCTCCTGCTAGTGCAGCAGATAAGCAATTCCTCTTCAACCATGACCTCATGTTGGCAAAGAAAAAGAATGATATCTGCATATAAAAAGACAATCCGTGACACATCTTAAACATTCTCTATCACAAGAGATTTCAATATGACTGCTGATTATATCAACTCTTGTGAACTGTAAAGTGCCTTGAGATGACATGTGCTGTGAATTGGCGCTATATAAATAAAATGAATTGAATTGAATAAACTCTTCTTCTGTTTTAATCATTTCAGTTTGCAAATATCTAGCAGAGCTTTGACATCAAGTGAGATTACTTTTAGATGTCAGGAAAAAGATGTCTATATAACTTTCTAAAAAAATAAAATTGGCTTTCAGGGTTCGAATGCATGAAACCAGGAACTTCTTAGCTTCTAAAATATCAAATCCTGACTGTGATTTGAAATATTGTCCAGCTTCTTAATAGCACACAAGGATACATTTCTTTCTTATTTTTAAAACGTTGCATGTTTTAGTCTGCAGATGATCAGCAATAGATCAAACAAAAAACAAAGACAAATGATCTGTAAGCAAAAATAAACCAAAGAAAGAAATTGTTTATCTCATTATAACTGCCCGATCAGTCCTGCTCCTACTACACCACAGTTATCCCAAGAAACACCCAAAAAGGTGCGACAAATCTAAAACAATAATAATAACACTTTATTATACCAGCTTCAACTTCTGTTAACAACCTAAAGTTGAACTGAATTAAAAAAACAAAACAATACTTCTTGTTACACAACTGCTTCGAAGCTTGCATAAAATCCTATATGGGTTGAATAGTTTAAAAAGAAATATGTCTAATAAAATATGTCAGTATAGTGAAAAAAATAAGCTAAAAGATAAAGAGCTTTCACCACTCCTGTTTTCAATTTATGGTATTCAATAAATTTCTGCTTTGCTGCTTCAGTTTTTTTCCCCATCTAGAAGAGAAGACCTGCTTCTTCTTCAGCTATAGTTTGGTTTTAGCAGTCCTCATAAACATCCCATTCATCTTTATAGGGAGCTTTCAACTCAGCTTTGAACTTTAAAGCTGTTTTACTATTAAACTCATCTGTCATCACAAAAAAATCTAAAAAGCCTCTCTGTCATTTCAGAAACAGAACTCCATTTACACACATGCACCAAACTGTTGGTATCCCAACAGACATTTGAATTTAAAGAGCTTCCTGGAGTGGGAGCGAAACGTCTTGGAAACCAAGTCCAGTGGATCGTTTTTTCTAAACTTTTACAGAATGACTATGACCTGGATGACTGAGAATCTTCATCAGCAAATCGTTGGTATCCCTCTTTCAAAACAAAGGAGAACCCACAAGTTTGACAGGCACAACTTAAATATGACAATACAATAATAAATAAAAAATCTATGAAAATGAACAAATGAAAGTCCGCCATTGTTTTTGAACCTAATAACTGATTTTCAATTATCAAAAAAGAAAACAAAAAAACTAATGAGGCAGGTCTGAAAAAAAAATATTTTACCCCTAGAAAAGGCTGGAAACAATTTGACTAAAGGGACATGTTATCCTCTTAATATCCACCTCATTTTGGGAAATTCGCCTATTTTGCTTACCCAATTAGAAAAGAAAATAACTTAGGAACTGTAAGCCCAAATTACATGATACATTATTTGAAAGCTAACACCTTCCAGTTTCAGTATATATACATGAAAATTGGGTGAGTAAAAAACCCAAGCTTCATCAGTTCAAACATGACTCAAAGTTATTTTTTTGTTCTTGAAAATAATAGGTATTTTTGAACAGCAATAATAAATTCATGCTTGGTTGTTGTGGCTGCTTTGTCATTGTACATTTTGACATGCTGCTATATCTGTGTTAATTGTGCTTTGGTGATCACTGTGTCCATAAAATGAACTAGGTGGTTGAATTGTAGAAAATCTAAGCTGTCAAATGATGTCTAACATTTCTATATCGGTAAATATTTTCCAGTGTAATTTTCATGCATCTGAGTTATTATTTGTAAACGCTTTAAAATGTGTTTTGGGAGGTTAAATCAATATGTGTCCACTAATTAGCATCACAGGTGTCTACAATGTTGTATTGTAATCAGTCAGTGGACAGGTTGTTACTGTGCTGTTTGGTGACATGGTGTGTATCACACTCAACATGGACCAGAAGAAATTAAGGAAAAAGTCGTCTCAGGAGATTAGAAAAAAATTATTGACAAGCATGTTAAGTGCTTCACCTCCAAGCAGCTTGATGTTCCTGTGACTGCCGCTGCACATATGTTGCACATGACAAATGTTTGAAAATCAAGGTCTGACTATACTTTGTTCAATTTAATAGAATTTCTATTAATTATTACTTCTGTCTCATTCCTGTTATTTCTGTGTGCTTTGTGGGGTTTTTCTTTCATTGAACGAGAGGTACCAACTATTTTGTCCACACATGTTTCTTATAGGGCCTTGCCAAAGTATTTATAGCACTTGAGTTTTTAAGATATTTTCTTTAAGAACAGCTCAAGCCAAGTCAAATTCAGATTAAGTCTAGATTAATCGATTTGCAAAATAATCCTTAGTTGCAGCCCTATTTTTAATAAATGAGGGACATCAAATTTATTAATATAAAAACAGTCCTTTATCTTAAGCTTCATGTTGAGTTGGCCCAAAATAAGTTTGTGGTTGTTAAAAAAAGCCCTAGTGAGTAGTACCTAAATAATAACCAGCAGTAATAGGCCCTAAATCATGTCTCGTTACCTGTTATTACATAGAAATATGATTCTAAAGTTGGCTTCTCCAATACATACATATATATGTGTATATATATATATATATATATATATATATATATATATGTGTGTATATATATATACACATAAATACAGGGCTGCCAACTTTTCACCAAATCTTGGTGTGAGATTTCTAAATAGTTTGGAAAGGAAATCCTGTCAGGGTGACATGAGGACAGGTGCAGCTATAGGTTGGAGGTTTTCAGAGGATTTAACGGAAACAAAGCGGTAAAATTTGGAATTTTTTTTATAAAACAGTAAATGTTACCGAATAATAATAAGTGATCCATAGTTATGTAGAACATTTCTCTCACAATATACATTATTTTCTACATTCTGGTGATTTTTACAGAATTGAAGCAGAATGGGCCCTACTAAAATACCTGCATCTTAAATATACTTTAAACTAAGAATTTCACAACTTTGCTCATTAATTGTTCTCTGCAGTTCAAGTAAATTAACAATGGGGAACTAATAAGCTATTACTGGATTACTGACACTGATACAGGAACCAGTGCAATCGAATCCCCTGCAAACTACACATGAATATTTGGTAGTAGGCTAAGGCTGGAAAACCTTCATTCATTATGTTATTAGTTTTTCTTACAATTGCAAAACAGCTAAAAACTCACCATGAAAGGAGACAACACTTCTCTGGATGTTTTGAGTTTGGAAAATGTGATGGAAATAAATTTTTTAAACATATTCAATGGACCAAAATAATAATAAATGAATATGAGAAAACCTGGTGGTTTCTCCTCTATAGATCCAAGATAACTGAGCTGTTCTGCAAATCCTCTCTGGATGCAGCTGTTTTTTTTCATTGGTGGCTTTTGAAAAATAAAATGCAATGATTCTTTTTCTTTTGTGGAGCTCCTATGGGTTTGAGAGGCAAACCAGGAAGCTTTAAGAATTAAAATATTAATGTTGGTTTAATTACTCCTAAATTCCAACTGGAGATTATTAAACTAGACTGAGTTGAGTTTTAATGTCTGTCATTTTTTTAGTGTGAGGAATTGGGAATATGGTGTGAGAGTGAAGACACTGAGATTGGGTGAGTCGCACTCCCAATGGGTGAGAGTTGACAGCCCTGTGTTATTATATGTAATAAAACAAAGCAGGTGTCTAAGCTGGGTCTCATCGGGTCTAAACTGGTTGCGAGTGACACGTACCGAGTAAGACTCCATCCTTCCTGTTTCAGCAGCAGAGCCTCGGCCCTAGCGTTCACAACAAACAGCACGCCGCCTGCCTCCTCCATCCCTTCCCCTCCCACCTATCCAACGCACGTAAGAAGCGACAAGCCCACCTCAGAGACCTGCCGTCCTCGGAGCGCAGCCAGCCGAGGCACAGCCGCCACAGCTGCCCGCTAATTACAAGCTAACGGCGGCTAAACGTTACCTTGGTGAACGGCGACGCTGCAGCCGTGTCCGTCGCAGTACACCAGCGGGTTCTCCGCCCAGCCCCGCTCGTCTGAACACACGCAGCAGCCTCCGACCATCTCCCGCATGCTTCTCCCATATGAAGAAATAAATGTCTCCCCGTGGGTAACGGCTCAGACCTCGGCCAGGCCTGTCAGGTAAACGGCCGACACATTAGCGCAGCATCTGGTGTAGTCGCTTGCTGCGTAGGACGAGCTGTTTTTTTTTGGGGGGGGGGGTTTTTTTTTTTTTTTTTTTTTTTTTTTTTTTTTTTCTGCCGCAGCGGCGAAACCAAATCTCGGCGTATAAAAAATGCGCTGCTTCGCTGCCTCTACATTTCCACCGCGATGTCTCCCCAGAAGCGATGCAGTGCGCATGCTCAGTGCTGATCTCTTCAGATTGAGCCAAAATCCATTTTCTAGATCACCACAATTAGCCTCTTACAGTTTTTGTCTTTTTATTTAATAAAATAATTCACTTCATCATCATTTATATATATAATAATGGAGCTCAAGCACCAAAAACGTTATCTGCTTCAGTTAATCAATTCTGAGGAAACAGCGCCATCTGCTGGTATTTGAAATAAATGCAGGAACAATCATAGGAATGACTTTAATATTTACCCGAGGTGTCAAATATACTCATTTTCTTAAGTAAAAAAGAGACTATGTAAAGTTAAAATTACCGACTGAACTAATTTACTAAAGTAAAAAAAAAGTACTGCTTCTACATTATAGGGTACTTAAGTAAAAATGTAAAATGAAGTGTTTGCCTTAAAATAACTTTTATAAACTATTCTTAAAAAAAGAGTTATATGCACAAAAATGGGTTAATTTTCATGTTTTGCGGAGTATGTTGGTATAGACAAAATACTGCTGACTCAGTCTTAAATAAAATTTCAAACAAGATAATGTAGACTAATCTGAACAGAGGTCTAGTATAAAAGTTTAATTTATCTCAATGCTCTGTTTTTCACAGCATAATGCTGCAAATATTCAAATGTAAGTAGAGCTTGAAACATGATCAGCATGCAAATGTAAAATCTCATAAAAAGGGAATAGATGGTAAACATCTTGCATCCGTTATCTGCAACGTTTACCAGCCCCATCTCATCTCCCCTGTCACTATTACTGTTTTTTGTTTATTAAATTGACATATAAAGACATAAACTGGATGACTAAATAGCTAGGTAAGGTGTAGGAACTGCAGATATTTGTGTATCAATGTAGGGATTAAAAGTTAAGTCATTAGAAAAATAAACACTCAAGCACAGAAACTAGAAATTGCTACTCAAGTAAGTACTAATGCTTAGTTACTTGACACTTAACACTAACACCCAACCCACATCTGCTATTTACAGATCATATTTTACATCCATCCATCCATCTATCCATTTCTGACAAACTTAATCCCAAGTGGGGTCGCAGGGTTGGAGTACCCGGAGAAAACCCACGCATGCTCAGGGAGAACATGCAAACTCCATGCAGAAAGACCTGGGGAATCGAACTACAACCTTCTTGCTGCAAGGCAGCAGTGCTACTTACTGCCCCATTGAGCAGCCCTATCTGACATACAATGTAAATGAATTTGGGAATAAATAAATATGGTTACAGGTTTTGCAAAATATGTACAGAATCAAATGTAATATTTTGAAAATTAAGCAAAAATATTCACAATATTTAACATAAAATTAGCTTTGTGGTCATCTAAATATCCTGCAAAATGTCTGTTTTTTTAAAACAAGAAAGCTTAAAAAACAAATTTAGCATAGTTTAAAACCATATAGCAATAGTTTATAGTTTTACTCGTTTGATTTTCAAGAAAATAGTTCCCTTAGGGGTGGAATAAATAAAAACCACCACCATTAATTTTAAATGCTATTTTGTCACTTCACTACTTTATACATTTGCAACCAGCTTCATACACATAGAAAAAAAACGTGACGTTTAATTAGAATTTTAGTATATTATTTTTTAATACCTTTGGATTTCTTTTATTTTGATTCTGATCCCCATTTATGGCCAGTCAACACATCAAATTGACATACTGTGACCCTTGAATAGACAAAAAGACTAGCAAAGAGATATTATCAGAGGAGCCGTGAAACCATACATTACTGTAGACTCTGAGTAGATTATAAAACTATGATATCAAAGTGTTTGTTCTCGAAGCAGATATGAAACTTCTTAATGGTTGGCATAATTTGAAACATGGTCTTACAGTGGTGAATGTATACCAATATTACAAACAGATGAAATGGTGTGAGGCTGAAATAAGCACCATCCAACCCGAATAAACCCCAAACAATTATCAGCATGCTCTGCAAAATAAATGTGTTCTTGCAGGGCATGAGTTGAACAGCTGTAGTGTAACCGTTAAGCCATGATGGTTAAAGCTCACTGATAAAATCTCTGATCTATCAGCGATAGAATAAATTCAGGAGGGGTAGCAGCGGACACCTTCACAGTCATTATAGATTTCGAAACAATTATACATGCCTTTCGTGAACAGAATGTTTTATTAAACATTTCTTATCTGTACAATAATAAACAGGAATATATCATTTTCTTTTAAATAAGTATTCAATTAATATTTTTTCTTTTTTAATGTGGCATTTTTGTGCTTCTATGCAAAAAAAAAAACAAAAATAGTCAAAGACATTCCTAGTCTATGAGTAGTATACACCTTCTTTATAATATTCTTCATTACTTTTGGAGAGGCATTCAATTTGCAAAATAATAATAAAAAAAACGTTGTTAATACCATACTCAACTGTTACAAATAAATAAATAATTAAAAAATATATAAAAAAGTGAAACTTGCATAAAATGGTTAGGAGCTTATCTGTGTTTTATCTTTTAAGGCTGTTATACTCAGACATTTAACAGGCACTGCGTCACTTAGTACTATTTTCCAATTATATGCATTTATGTCATTAAATATGGAATGAACTTTTGGGTTGTCATGGGTTGTTCCATGAAGGCTGTGTGTTCGGACAACAGATGAAAGGGGGATTCAAGATCAAATCATGGTACAGTTAACTGCACACATTTTGGAATAAATTCACAACTTAAATACAAAAAACAAGAATTTATAAACAAAAATGTCAAACATATTTCAGTTAAAAGATCTTAACTAAGCTAACCAAACGAAACTGAGTACTATGTACATTTAGAAGGAAAAGAAAATAGAAAAACATGATATCTAATTTTAGTTTTTAACACTCGTAAAATACATATCGTATGTGTTTTTTTAATTCAATATATTTTTTCATTCTTTTTTTTTTTGTCCCATTGTTTTTAAGAAACTGTTATCTTTATAAATAAATTCTCCAAGAAATGATGGCTTACTGTTCTGTTTGTTGCTACAATTGTTTAATTCATTTTAATGTTCTTTGTTGTTGACTTAAACTACTGAAGGGACTATAGATGGAAATTAGCTGTAGGCTATAATCTGGCATATTCACATATTTATTATGCATTGTCCCTTTAAAAAAAAACAAAAAAAACTGGTGAACAACTACTTTTAAAATGCTGCAATAATATCATCATTCAGCATTGATATAACATTCGAGAACCAAATTTAATCTTGTATTTTATATATATAGTATTTGGAATGTGTTAAACCTAGCTTTTAATAATAAAAAAGAGGTAAATAAAACATTATTCAGGTAGAAAGATATTTTAAAGACTGATAATGCCTAATTGGAAATCAATAACTGGCTAGCATTGATATTTAATAAGGCCAGGGTTTCTGCAAACCCAGTCCTCGAGATCCATTGTCCAGCACATTTTAGATGTCTTTCTGCTCCCACGCCCCTGAGTCAAATCATCAGGTCATCAGCATTTGCTCACTGAGGAGGTAATTTGATCATTTGATTCAGGTGTGGGGAAGCAGAGGCACATCTAAAAGGGGCAGGACACTGGACTTTGAGGACTGGAATCGAGGAAACATGAGCTGGGGGTTCCAGGATTGTCCCTTAAAGCTTTGGAAATGTCTTGATAGATCAGAGTTTACTACCTGGAAATATAATTTCCCAATCCTTCATCCAGGGCCCAATAACAGTTTGCCATATCCCATGCATGTATGTGAGCCACAACATGGTAAGACCTCCAAGGACATGTCTATAGTGCTTTTGTTTTGTTTGCTTTTGTAAATAATAAAGAACAAATAAAGAATCAAAGAAAAACAAGGCACTTTTTAAAATTTATTTCAGTTTTCTTCAAAGTGAAAATATGCAAATCCCACTTCGAACAAGTAAGCAAGATGGCCACTTGAAGCCAGAAATCCACAACAGTAAAACAACTTTCTCACCAACTCTCATTTCAACATGGACATGGACATAGCTGCCGTCAGTTTAAATCATAGTAATGGCTAAAGTATAATTCGTAGTTTGTTTGCCCTGCTGGGCAGCTTGTATTATATGAACTCTTTCAAACTCATGTAAAGGTTTGAGAAAACGTTATTTTTTTAAAGCTTCATGTGCTGGCATGTACAGGTAAAATTATTCATGAGATGTCAAAGTACCAAAGCGGGCCAAGAGTTCCTCAACTTGAAACTTGAAAACGGTTTGGTTAGGTTTGCTGGAACACATCAGAGAGATGCTGTGGTAACTTTTAGGTCATTGTCCATCTGTTTAACTTTGTACTGGAAGGTCCCTCAACTACTCTTTACTCGTCTTAACTCTTCGTTTTGCCTGTTAGAGCCAGCCCAAGCACCGACAATAGCTCAAGAACCTTAAGGAAATACATTAGTGGAGATTTTATTAACTAAATCCCAAGAGCCAGTCAGTAGATGTCACTAAAAACCAGACAATTATCTTATGATATATTGACTCTGACTTCTAAACCTTTTGGGGTTTAAGTTGAAAATGAGATGTTCTGGCTATTTTAAGTCTATAACATGTAAAGTTTGCAAAAAAGGAGTCTGACATTTACATGAACCAGAACTAGATCTGCTTTAGTCACAGTTTATCTCCTCAGCATCAGAAACTACCCAGAAGACGAATGCCTTGAATTTAACATTTTGTACTTGGGAATAGAGAAGCAGCTAAGCTGTGCTGTTGTAATGAATGACTTGGCTTTTTAACTCGACATGTGGAATCGAAGCTGTGAAGACAGTTTGGCCTCACAAGTGTCACTTCTCTTCAAACCCAAAGAGAGAAAGGGGAACTGGCTCCGATGGAGAGGACAGATAGTGAGGCAGCAGCTGGAAGAAGCTAACACCCTCTATTGGTCTTAAAGGCAGCAAGGCGTGAATAAGTTCCTGCACTGCCGTGTGGGTGAAACGCATCCACATACGCTCACACACCCGACGCACGCTCATGATAAAGTAGCTCTGTGGCTTGACTTTTTTCTTTTTTCTTTTTTTTTTATGAGTGCTCACCAAAACTTCCCCGCTGTGCACATTTTGGCCGTCAGCGGAAGTTTTTAAAAGTGTGTCATGTCGAAAATTCCCACAAAACCTTACATTTTTAAAGCAATTTTTTTCTTTCTGGGCCACTGCACAGATAAGTTCCCATATCTGGAGTTTTACTGGCATGGTGGAGGCAGCATCATGCTGTGGGGATTACTGTTAATATCAATTCTGTGGGTGAGGCGAAGGAAAGAGAAACTGCTGACTACTTTTTGTGCTTTCTTCCTTTCCTAACTGAATAACCCGAGTTAGACACTCCTCCCTCAACCTTTACACCTCTAATTGTTGTTTGTTTCCCAGATATCACAATGACCCGAGAGACATCGAGCCATTTCTTATCATGGAAAGGATTAACTCTAAGATCTGAACCTGTGAAGCATCCGAGGGATGATCGAGTAACTACTTAACATAGACTGCACTGGAATATTTCTCCTTATCTGCTACAACATAATGACTATTCTGTAATGAAAACGGTAAAACTGAGACATTTCTACCTCGTGGGAACGTTAAATGAGTATATTATTCTGGAGTGAGAAACCAGCACATGGTGTAGAGTGGTGTCCTTTGAAGCCGTGAACTGCAGATCTCTGAAAACCACAGCCTTAAAAAAAGAGACATGTGACCTTCGAGATAATAGGATGTTTTCGTTTTTTTTTTCACCGTCAGAATTGCCAAGTTAAAACATCTCTCTACCTTCTGCATGTTGTGTGTGATGACAGGATTGTTCTTTTATTTTGTACATCTTTATACAAACAGAATAAAACCGTAGACACAGCATAAATACATGACCTTGTACTGCTTTGGGCGAGTGGAAACTCATGGCTCTATGATGCAAAAAGACAACCCTGGTAAGAACAAATAAATGCTTGGTAGGGAGTAAAAATTACTCCTGCAATAACTTTTTAGAGGCCATCTTTTCAGAAGAGTGCAGGATGACTAAGAACAGCCACTGCACACCTACGTTTATACTCACACACACTTTAACAAACACAAAGGACAGACAGAGCTGCTACTTCATGCTTTCATTTCTAATACTACCAGCTCCTTAAATGACTAAATCGCTGTCTGTCTCCATAGAGTGGTGACGGTTTGTGTCACCACTCTATGGAGTCTACTTGAGTTCTAGGCGGTGCTCGCCGCGAGCTATGTGGGAGGAGAACTCGTAACGGTCCCGGCTGCGGTGGCCACACACATTGCATTCAAGTGGATCGCGGAAACCGTGGCATCCCATGTGGATGGTGAACATAACATAGTCCAGGAAGAGCACCCTGCAGTGGCCGCAGGGGTACACTGCTCCAGGGGGCGCCCCGGCCTCCCCGTCTGCCCGCATCACTCGCAGAGCCTCCAGGGGAGACAGGGGGATCGGCTGGCTGTGTGGGTGAGGGACGCCGTTCTGGTGATTGATCCCCCCCAGCAGGTGACCCAAGCTGTACATGATGGGCTGGGCCATCTGCGATGTGTCGTTGTGAAAGGAGTCCATGCCGAGGGGTGGCTGTGCTCCATGAGCGAGGCCCAAAAGAGGCATCTTGTGGCCGTTGGTGAGGCTCATTGGGTTAATATCGGTGCGGTTTAATGGGATGGGGTACGGTCTGTGGGTGGGGTGTTGGTCGCCATCAGGGCCTGTGAGGACGGTCTGCAGCTGGCCGTCTGGCCCCGGTGAGCCTGGTGGAGGTTCCTTCATGTCAGACCGGTTGAGCAGTTCCCTGTTAAAGCTCAGATCCAGGCAGACCCCATTATCTCCTACAACAGGGACAAGACAAGAGAGCTCTAAAGGCTTAACAGAAGGTGGTTTTCTTTACTTCAATGAAAAACATCACTGAACTTGAAAAAGTTTTCAAACCGCTTCTACTTTTTCACATTTCATCACATTTAGACCTTCAAAGCTCAATGCATTTTATAGGGGGTTTAGTGATCAAAATAAGGTTATGTAATTTTGTGAAGTGGAAGAAGAACGAGACGCTTTTATTTTTAATCTTTGTACCTTTGTAATTTTAGATACCACTGGTCTGATAACCCCTATAAATTGCATTCAAAAGTCCATATGTGTAGAATTTAATCTAAGTATGTCTCCAGTTATTCTGCGATGGGCTTAAGAATTTATAATGAGCAAAAAACAGCAGCATGAATACCAATAATGAGAGCTAACAGGTCCAGGATAATTTACAGCAGGATAAAGTTATAAAACAATACAAACATCTCACGGGGAAATGCCTAGTCCATCATCTAGAAATGGAAAGATAATGGCACAGCTCCAAACCCACTAAGACATGGCTTTCCACATTAACAGAAAAACCTGTCAAAGAGCATTAATGAGATGGACATCACAAAAGCCTATGGTAACTTTAATGGAGAAGCTAAGATGTGCAGCTTAAGTGGGAATATCTATTAACAGAACATCTACTGCACTCCCAAAATGTCACATTTATGGTAAAATGGGAAGAAAAGAGCCACCACTTTAGGAAAACTATAAGCAGTTTGCAATCAGTCAAAATTCATGATTTAGACACAGCAAATATTAGGAAGAAGATGCATGAACCCTAAAGAAACTACCTCTACTGATAAATATGGTGGCTGCAGCATCATGCTGTGGAAATGCTCCTCAGCAGGAACAGGAATAGGCCTGGACAGCTGGAGCTAAATGTGGGGCAGTCCTGTTACAGGCTGCAAAGGGATTCAGACCGGCAGAGATTCACCTCATTTAGGATAACCATGAACCAATCTATGACTAGACTTGAGAATATAAGCTTAAAGACACCGATCTGACTGATTCTGAGCTGTTTAACAGAGACGGATGGACAAATACATTAGCCTTTTAGATGTTTAAAGCTGGTAGAGTGGTTTACTCAAAAGGACTAGATATAAGTGATTCTTAACTTATTTGCAGTGTCATTTACCAGGGAGAGTTAGGTAGTTGTCTTGCAGTTTTAGATTTGATTCCAGCTTTTCTCTAGTAATAAGTAAGATGGTGTCTACATGCGTTAGGAATGACATGAGTGAATGTGGCTCTGGTGTAAAAGTGCTTTGTTTGGTCAATATGACAACATTATTGCTCTATATGTTCAGTCTATCTTTAAAGGATTAATAAAAACCATGTGTCTTATTCTTTCCACTTCACAGTTATCCACTACTTTATAATGGCCCATTGCATAAACTTCTGATAAAGCGTATTGAAGTTTGTGGTTTCGAAGTGACAAAATATGAAAAAGCACAAGGGCTATGAATACTTTTGCAAGGGACTGCACATGACCCAGCAGCAGAGCGCTTATTGCTTACAGATGGGCAAGAGCTAAGGCAGACCCAGATGGGGCTCTGAGGGGCCCTCTTTTTGGTGTGCATTATGCAGAGGGCAAATATAAAAAAAAACAAAAAACATGCACCCCCCTTTGGGGAACCTGGAACACAAGCACTTTACGGGACTAGAAAAAAAAAGAAGCTTAAAAGCAAGGAAACATCCTGAAACAGGAGAGGACAGAGGGCTGAGACGGCGCAGACGGAGGTCTTTGGTGCAGCTGCTACAGAAGTATCGACAGAGAAACACCTGCTCACGTTTCTCGCCTCCCGCCTGTTCTATCTTTCTCTGTGGTTTCAGACTCTCTTACTTCTCTTTTCCCCTGTGGTTGTCATATTGAAAGATCTCACTTCATTTGCCAAGCTGATAGACGTAGGAGTATTTGTGTGTTGTGCTTGAGCGTGATTGCGAAACTACAACCCAAAGGTTGAGCCTAACCAGAGAGGTGAGAAGGGACTATTGAAAAATTGTGAGTGTGCTCATAAAGTTTGGGAAATGGCAGCACCAACTCAGGCGTTTACTGACAGTGATAATCATTCATCACTCCAGTGGATAATCCGAGTTCAATTCAAAGCACCGAAGATGAGTAATACTACTGAGAACTTTCAGGCTCATATTTCTTTTCTTTTGTACCTGTATCAATTCAAATTATCATGCACGGTTACACAATACCCACCTATAACACATGGGCAGAGAATCTAGGGTAGTGGGAACCAGTCTGGTGTGGGCAGCTATGAGCCAGGTGTTCTGGCCTCAGTTCACGTCTGGCAAGAGACAGAAGCCAGCAAAGATAAACAGACAAGCAGAAAGCTCACGCAGACAGAAATAATTTACAATAGGCTTTTTATTTAGAGGCTTTAAAGCACTGCAGCAAAAAGACTGATGTAAATGCATCAACAAGTAAGCAGGACGTACAGAGGAAGCCTGTTGGAAAATAGCTGTAATTTAACACACAGCAGCAGGTTTTAGTGAGATTATTCACTTTGAGATCAAAAATCCACTTAAGCAAACTTCAGTGGATTTTTATGGCAATTTTATGGGATTGACCAAACAAATTAATACATAATAGCAGGGGCCAACAAAAATTATGCATAATTTTACACAATTAAACAATCAAAAGAGGCCAAACCTATCTTTTCTACCCCATAACATTTTCTATCTCTATATAGAATCCAGTTCATCCATTTCCTTCCCCTTATCAGTAGACTGACTCCACTTCTGTTTATTTTTCTGAAGAAAACTCAGTTCTGTGAAGGGCTAAGAGATTATTAAAGAAAGTTTGTGAAGAAGAAGCATTGAAAGTTTGAAGATGGGTTATTTTACACACCATTTGGAGGATGCCAATATCTGCTGAATAATAATATCAGATCAAATCAAAATGAACCAGTTGGGATTGTTTTGGAAGGAAACCAGTCTTCTGAAGACCAAGAAACACAGAAAAAAATTCATAGATAAAGTTATGGAAATAAATTAGATAAGTATAAGATAGTCAGATCTTGTGGTGAAAAAATGGTATACCAAGTTTTAACATCATATAGAGCAGCGATTAATTATATTAATGACAATTATGTCATATAAATGAATAGACAGGGTAGGAGAGGATTTTTCTGTGAAGCACACTGAACACACAAACCCGTCCTTGAAACAAAGAGGTGTCACCTACAGTCTGAGGACGTACCTTTCTCTAGCGGGGACAGGGATACTAATCAGACAGAGGAGAAGATTTTCAACATGGAGCAGGAAACTAAACCTGATTGTACAGCTAAATCTATGATGGAGGGGTCTAGATCAAGCAAAGTTTGTGTTGGTCTATCACATAAAATTCATTTAAATAAACTAAAATGTGTTGCTGTTATGTGACAAAACGCTTTTGCAAGGCACCGCAAACATGTCGAAGCAGTAGCAGCTTTTGCAGCAAAAATATGTCTTTTTTTTTTATTAAAAACACACAATTGAAGGCAAAACTTGAATATACAGCTGGCCTGACAAAAGTAAGACCCTTTTTGCAGCCTGAGGTACGCCACTGTTCTTACCAGTGAACTTCTGTGGCATTGAGCTTTTCCGCTTGGCAACGTTGCTGGCGAGCCTATCGAGAAGCAGCGCGCGCTCAGACCCCATCTGAGACCTGGCTGAGTGGCTGTCCTCTGCTTGACCACAAAAAAAGAAAAGACAGAAAGAGAGACAAAACAGCCATGTCAGGGAAATGGAGACCTGTAGATCTTAAACAGAATCGCTCCTCTCATTAAAATTCACTCATACTCAAACAAACAAAGGAGACCCACATGGAAGACCAAGAAAAAATTATTTGAGATAAGGAACTCCTTGGACTTCACTTCCTAGTTCTTTTTTTTTCTTCTTTTTTTTTTTTTTTACCTCATCAGTGCCGGAGGAGATACCACAGGATGAGGATGTACTTCCTCACCACTACAGCTCTATCAAGCAAAACTTACGACATTCGGTGACCACAGAAACAGTGTGTTGCAATTCGCAACTGTCCTGCCGGTAGAATAAGGTACAGACGACTGTGGGGGCCGATCTTACACGAGCGTGCCTGCATTGGGGCGGCCTGGACTCAAATGTTTGCCCTATTTGGCTTCCCCTTTGCTGATACAGACATGAGAAGCGTCCTCCACTGCACTAAGCCATCACGCCACAGCAGCCATAACCTATTTAGTCTGTAATCGTGGGGCACCAGCTATAAGTTCATTAATTCAATGAGGCCATAAAACCAGATCTGCAGGCTTTTTCTCTGCACACTGTTTTTTTTAAATGATGGCTGCAGCAGCTGCATGTGTGAAGTTTCAGAGATGTTTTCTGAGAGTGTGATGGCTGCTCACCTCTCTCAGCGGGACCTTTGTTCTGAATGTATACATGGCACCTCTCTCTGTGCTCGTCGAGGGAGCTCCGCTGCTTGTAGCTGCGGCTGCAGTGGTTGCACTTGAAGGGCTTCTCTACTGCGAGCAAGAGTTTCAGTTAATCACCAAATACATCAACAACATAAAAAAGAAAAAAAACTGGCACAGCACATATGCTTTCCCTAAGTTTGCAGTTTCACTCAAAACTGATGATTCTTTTTTTCTATCTGTAAGTTGTTTTGAGACTGAGGGCAGGTAAAGCACGTGATCTGAAAGTGAATGAAAAAGTTTCCAGAGGCGATGGAGTAAATGATATCATATGTGTGTTTGAAACACTGCATGATAATAGGCTATTACTGGAAAAGCCAAGAGCCCTTTTGCAAGACTGGAAAGGGAGTGAGAAACCAGACTTAGAGGAGTAACTGACAAGCATTGTATGTAGGTGCCTGAGGTATAAGGGCGTGTTGGCGCTATGGGTACATGTTAAATGATTGAGCAGGCATGCATGTGGCTGGCAGCTACCAGAATGGGTGCGCAGGTGCCCGCTCAGAGCGTCACGTCGTCGGCAGGCGTAGCTGCACATAGGGCATTTGAAAGGCTTCTCTCCAGAGTGCAGTTTGATGTGGCGAAGCAGGTTTCCCTTCTGGGTGAAGGAGGCCCCACACTGAGTGCAGTGGAATGGCCTCTCACCTGAGAAACAAAAAATAACACAGAGAGGAGAGAGAAAAAAAAGAAACCCACATGGTTTAACTCATTAATTGCTCAGGAAACTTTTTTGCAGATCTACTTTTATTAACTTCTGAGTCAGAGCAATAATTAGAAAAGAAACAAAAACAATGCATAACTACTATGTAGTTTCCAATTGTTACAAGTGCGTTGCAAAACCTAGAATCATTCTTCATTTTTTGAAAAGGGAACAAAGCAACATCCACTTTGATAGCCCAGAGATGATGTTCTCACAACCCAGACCACCGAGCAAGTTCTGCACACGATGTTGAAAACAGCCTCAGCTAAAAGCAGCGTAAAGACCTAAAATCTTACTCCAGCCAATACAACAGTTTTGGTGGACATGAGACTCTGCGCTAGAGCTGATTTTGGCTTTCGGCCAAAGTTTTTTCTTTGGATATAAAGGAGAATATACTGAAAGCTGAGTAAACATGAGCTTCAAAGTTTAGTAGTCATTTCTACCAAGTTCCTTATCTATCTAGAAATGTCTTGATCAGAGGAGAAAAAAATGACCCAAAATGCCACAATAATTCATCTTCTGTATACGGTATTGCAAAAAGCAAAAAACAAAAAACAAAAAAAAAACGACAACAAAGGAGCAACACAGTTAGACCCTGATTTAGATTTAAAATATTACAATTTGAGCCATATATTTCTTAAAACAGAAGGCTTTATTAAAATGTTCCCATCATCCAGCTAGAGTCAGGCATGGAATCTGATAAAGAATCTTTGAAGATAGCCACAGATTAGGGTAATGGCACTGAGGGCTTTCAACCTCAAAGACTTATCACCAAATCAGCTTATCACCAAGAATAATTTGTCGAAAAAGCAGTAGAAACATACAAAATCTGGAGAGTAAATCTAAAAAAAATGGTTTGATTCCTGTAATGTCTTATAATATTCATCTGACACAAGCTTCCCGAATGATTGAACATAATACTGAATCTAAATCTGCCATAGATATGAATCATATGAGCCTGTATTCATAACCTAGTCCAAATTTGGAACCCTATAGATTTTGCTCAGGCTCAATTATAGTGAAGGATGATTTGAAATGTATTGTAATAATGCTAAAAGTTGATGAAAAGGTTTCTGACGCGTTTTCTATGAAAGCTCCAAAACTTTGGAAGACTAAGTTTGCAGTGTTGAAGCCTCCATTACAGTGCAAAAGTTTTGTACTGTAGTCAGGAATTATTATCCACACAAATCCGTTCCTTTAGTTAGAACTATTAATTAGTTTTTGCATTGGCTGATTAATCCTCCACGTGGCTCCATTACTGACCATGGCTGTATGTCTTCCCCCTTCTGTCTCTGCCCATTGTCTGCTGATGTAATGCAAATAAAAGCAACTAGATCAACAACATTTAGAAAAACTGGCTAAAGAAAAGTAGTTGTTTAATTGATTTTGTGGCCTTTGAACCACCATAGATTAAACTCTGCTATAAAACCCTGATTTGAAGATGGTTGGAAGACAACAAGCAGACGATTTTGAATTGGTCTTTCAACTAGAAACTCAAGAAATTATTGCTAAAATGTTAGAGTCGAGCTGAAACATGGTTATCAGAAATAAACATCATTTAAATATAAATCAATAGAGACTTTCATATACGGTAAAAATAAAATTATTTTTTCATCTTCCTCCAGATCTACAAAATGGCGAAGGTAGATTCTATAATTTACCAAAATCCTGAAGATTTAAAGTGTTAGGTAAAGCCACATGGAAACGAAAATTTCTCTAAAAATAACACCTGACCTCTATCAACTAGGCTACCTCAGTTCATCGCCTTATTTACCAGAACCACAGCTCTGCCGAATATCATATAACTGCATTTAATTGGTTAATAAAATATCTTAAACCCGTCATGGAGCTAAATGAGGAAAACTTTCAAAAAGAAAAAGTAGCAAACCAATCACTTTATCAACTTAAAATATCATCAGTTAGAGTTTGGTATCATCCAGAAAAATTACAGTTTGCAAAACAAGATTTTTGGATAAATGCCTATTCCCAGCGCTGGATATAATTCGGTCCACAAAAGAGGAGTTCTAAAATAGAATAAATAAAACACCAGAAAAGTTAAGTGAAACATATTTAGGTGTTTGCGGGGTATCAAACTGGTGTTACGAAATTTAGTCCAGCTTCTTACCCATCTGGGCTTATATGGTTCACACTTTTTAGGCGAGGTGTTCCTGCATGAAACCTACAGTGACGATAAAGGTGGGACTATTAGGGACCTATGGGAAACAGTTATATCATAAAAGAATCAGTGTGTGAATGTCTCTGTGAATGATTGGTTGCTTTGAATAAAGCTATAGACCATATAGCAGATGATGGGTGGAATGGAGTTATGAGTCTTATTTGAAACATTACAAAAATCAGTGTGTGCCGAAAAAGAAAAGAAATACTTAGAATCCTTTTATAGAGTGGAACCGGAGCTACTGTTCTTTGCTTAAGTCTGATTCAGCCCGTGAAACCAATGGAACAGTTTAAGAAACTAACAAGAACAGCTTGTAGCGTAGATTCGAAAGTGTTAATGTGAGCAAATAAGTATTATATAATCAAGGCCATCATGGTACTGTGGTGAATCGGATGAGAATCCTTCTACAGAGGTCATAATTTATTCCCATCAAATGATCATCTTTCTTCATGTCCAAACTAAGGAGCCTGTGGCAGTGATCGATCTTTGCATGCTCCTCTCAATAGTTATCTGTCACTGGCATCAAATCACACATTCAATTGTTCTGTGCTCGTTACTAAACTACAATGGAAGATATTTCACAACCAGATCTCGCCCGCCGATTAGGTTGCAGTGAAGTACCACATGCATGCAGAACAGATGCATTGACCCCATCAATAGGAGCTGATTCTGTTGCTATCGGTTGATCGTGCAGCTGTTTGTGTGTTTCAGGTCAGGCGTTTTTTTTCTTTTCTTTTTTCATCCTTACCAGTGTGGCTGCGTTTGTGCACCAACAGCACATTAATGCTGATGCAGGACAGGCCGCAGATGTCGCAGCTTAGTTTCCCCTGCGTCGGGATTCGGGACCCCGTGGACCCAGGCAAGTAGCTACCATCTGTGACGTCGTCCGAAGGGGTGGTGGTCTGGCCTTCTGGTAGGGATGATGTTTCGTAACGGGAGTAGTCCACCAGAGACAGGTCCTGGGGCTCGTTCAGGCAGTCTTCGTCTCTCTGCTCATCGTTGTCCTCCTCTGTCCTTTCCTCATCCATCCCTTCCTCCATCCCATCCTCACTGTCCCCCTCTGCCTCCTCTTTGGGTGCAAGCACTGCCTGCTCATTATCATCTGTCTCCTCCACCTCGGTCTTTATTACACCTAGACAAAACATGTAAGGAATCGAGAAGCAAAGCAATCATTTAGAGGCCTTTGTAGTCAGACATATAGTAACCAATGTGTAGAACATGTTCTGCTTCCAAATAAGGAGCTAAAAGAACTAGATGAGACTCTACTGCTAGCTAGAATGTGAAACATAGTCACATATTCACTTCTACCTTTATATTTAAGGTTCAGTATTAGCACAAGCACGTCTCCAAAGTGTGGGTAGCTTAATTTGGGCCGACACGTAGAGTCTCAAAGAGATTCAGTAGATATGCGCCTGAGATAAGAGGAAAGCGTTTCCTCTGAATACACAGAAAGTAGAACCAGGACAGAAGAAAAACACAGCAGACGCCTCAAACATACAACACCAACTTCCCTCTGCTGTGAAGGAGTCAGTGTGTTCATCAGTTTGTCACAGAGTGGGTCAACATCCACAGACTCACCAGCTATAATATGACCTTCTTTTTTTTTATGGTCCCGTTTCTTTAAAAGCCACATGATGTCAACATAGTGTTTCCCTTAAAGGTTTCTCCTCCCTTTAACTTTTTCACATTTTCTCATGTCAGGACAGGAGGGTACTGTGTACCAATTTTCTGGGGAGATGTTATGTGATATGCGGTGTTGCATATGTTTGGATTTAACCCCCCCATAGTCTACACGTTTCAAATCTCTGGTTATCTCTCTTTCAGTGTTGCACATTCAGTGGCTGGTTTGTTCAATTTTTTTGCCGAATTGCTCATCATCTGTCAGACTGGATGGGAAACATCATTCAGCGCCATTTTTGTAGACCTGCCTTAAGCCTTAAGCAGGATTGAATTGTGGACTTTGACGGCTCTATTCCGACACACAATAATGCTTTGACCTAAACCCTTCCACCCTTACTATGCTGCTGAAAGGTGTGCCCCAAGCTCAGGTCTTCTGGAACTTCTATCAGGCTTTTTACCTGGACTGCCTTGATTTTATATGTATTAGTTTTTCCATCAGTTCTAACTGAGGTCATTATTACTGCTTAAAAAAAAAAAAAAAAAAAAAAAAAAAAAACAGTGTGGAATTGTACATTTAGGGTGATGTGCACATAGTTCGCTTGAGCTGTGGATCTCCGCAGCTCCTCCAGTGTTACTGTTAATCTCTGGACTGTTTCTTTGATAAACGGCCACCTTTTTCTCTCTGGGTAGTTTAGTTGGACTGCTATATCTCTGCAGGACTGGGCCGTATTTAGGGGTTTCATTGTAAATAGGGTTAAACACAATGGGACACCAGACTTTTACTGTTTCTATTACTAGAAGAACATTTAAAATAACAAATTCACAATTACTTATTATTACTCTGTGCTGGTTTGTTGCAGAAAAAAATCCTAAACTAGATTCAAGATTGTGACTGTGATGTTGCAAAATGTGAAAAACATTCAAGGAGTGTGAATGGTGTTGCTAGGCTCTCTATGTTTTACCATGACGGCTTAGAGGAATCAACCCCTTACATGCACAACTGTCAGCACCACAGCTGCTGTCATGCAAAGTCCTGAGGCCCGTTTTTGCAGGACCTCTCACCTAGCCTGTTGTTCAGCGTGAACTAACCCTGAGAGCAGCACAGTTCCATCCAGAAACCACGCTGTGGTCTTGGCGGTGACTTATGATGAGCTAAAGAGCATCGCCTTGCGTTGTGGAGAGCGCTCAGAGGTGCTATGGAAACTTTGCAAGCATAGAGATCCGTGACACCCTTTATAGAGTCCAGGGTCTTTCAGGGAACCGCAGGGCCGTGCAGCAGAAAGCAGAGCAGGGCTTTAGGAAGTGCACCCAGTGGGGTAGATGGGTTGCCACTCAGAAATACGAAAGGGAGTGCTGACTGCACATAATGTTCTCTCTAAACACGAGGTCAGAAATAACAAACCCTTTGGAGTTGGATTTACTGTTGGTTACTTGCTTGAGATTCTGGCACCTTGAGGCAAATTAATCTTTTCTTTTTAACATACAATGGAGACAAGTTATACCGCCACTAAAAACTACTACATGTAATTGGAAGGGACTGAAGTTTGGTTCTATATATCATAGGAAACAAGGGAATCTTTAAACCAAATTTTGAAAATAAGTTTAAGAGGGCAGGATACGATAACATTTCTCCTACAGAGATCTCATATTGGTTTATAATATTTAATGGAATATAGTTTAAATTGCTCATCTTAGTTTTTCATTCTAACTAATCTGCAACTCCATCCTAGTTTTCGACTTCTAGCTAAATCATCAAATTCAGGTCAATAAAAATAAATCTACCGACTAATACGTGATTTCCATAAAAGCATGAAACCCACTATTCCATTAGCTCTTTGACATTTGCAGTTACATTTTATTTGGTGCAAAATCTTGCAAGGTTAAAATTCAACATGCCCGGAACTTTGATATGTGTGGAAATCTTCTGTGCATACATCTGTGTGTGTAAACATACGTGCATCCATGACAGCATCCGAATGCATTCCATTCACAGTGACAGAGCTGTCCTCTTTCTGCTCTTCCTCCCCCTGTGCCTTCATCTCTGCAACATCACTGCAAGTTTCTGAATAAAGACACAAATCATATCCAGTCACATAACCAAAGTTACTGATAAACTCAAAATAAAAGCAGCGAAAAGGTTTCTTTCCCTTTTAATCTTTTTTTAAACAATAAAGGAATTTTTTAGATGTTCCCTATTAGCAAATAATCAATTGGAATATCTTTTTTTGTAGGCTTGCAGACACATCTAAAAAAGCACCGATTATATCTGCAATCTGCACCAATCCCACAGTTGTGCCTCGATCTTTTCAAAGCACTGCTTCAGGCCGGACGGCGGTTTCTGCGGAAAATCAAGCTCAGACTGATCACGTACACTTTCAAATTCGAGACAAGGAATGATATACTCACCCATCTCGTCTTCCCCTGGGGATGTGAATTCAGGATGCTTATCAGCGTTCATGGTGAAGATGCTGGGGGTTTTAAGGTCTTAACAGGTCCAGTCAGGTTCCTGTGATGGACAATTTTAGAACCAGGTTTGTGAGAGGAAGGTCAAAGAACGGTGACAATGTGAAAGGACAAATATGCTCCTCACATTCATCCTGTCGCTCTAATGCAGGATTATATATACTATTTCACAACCCTAATAAAAGATGTTTTGTCTATTTCAATGAAGCCTGTGAAGAAATAGAAGCAACACTTGTGTCTGACTGTTCCTGTTGGTTGGACAGCATAAAAAAGAAGCTTACAAAAATAAAAATGGGTGAAAGCCCACGGTTGATTGCTCGACCCTGTCTCTACATTTAGCCTTATGAGAAAGACATGATATTCTCTCTGCACACGTATTTCCTGCTGGGTTTGTACACAGGAGCAAATGTAAAAGAGCTTTCCACTCCAGCAGCCAAACACTCCTACACTCGCGGGCATATTTTTAAAGAAAAAAGAACATCCATCCTCATGTGCATCTCCAATTAAAGATGCAACAAAGATTAAACAACTGTCTGTTTTCAGAGGAGTTTAAAAAGACAATTAAAGACTTATATGACTTATTGGTTAGGAAGAAACTGAAAATAATACAAAGTCACAGCTTTCATCTCAAATTTCTCAAAAGCTGAAATTGAGAAGTGCGTGTCGACATGTTGCAGTTACTGCAAAGAGCCACTTCTTTAATAAAGACCATCTCTAAGGGTAATGATGAAGCTGTCTTACCCTCCTGTTGCTCAGCACCCAGAGGAGATGACAGTGGCTCTGGTATGTCCCTACTCCACCACTGGACTTTCTCTGTATATGGATCCTAGGTAGTGTGACTACAGTGAATGCTGGAGAGATCCCTTATAGGAAGAGGAACTGGTGAGCAAGGTGGAGCAACAGAGACTTCACATCCAGCAGAGAGGCGAGAGCAGCTCAGACGGTTCAGAGGAGTCAAGGTGAAACTGAAGACCATCTGCATCCACTGAGCCTGAAAGGGACAGCTCTACGACACCACATCCTAATGAAGGAAACAAAGAGCATTAAAAAAATAAAATAAAATAAAATCATTACTGTAGGTCATACCTGCTACTGACTGGTTTCAGTTTAAGGAGTCATAGCTCCATCTTGTGGCCAAATCACAGAGCTACTATTCTATTTTAATACTGGGGTCTACTGTTGCACAAATTGAGCTAATACCAAATTACCAAAATGTTTGTAATTTTCAATTGTAAAAAACATTTGCTTTATTAAAGATTTCTTCATTTTTTTTTTTTACTTTTTAGGGGAGTGGGAGATGGGGGCAATGGAGTTGCTGCGGTAAAAAATAGTGTCACAGTCTTGGTTCTGTTATGCTTTACTTTGCTCCACGTTTTCTAGTTTTATTGGTTTGAATTCCTTTTTTGTTGTATTTTCCGGATATATTTGAGTTCTTAGGTTTTTATCTGTTGCCCTCTTGTGTTGCCTCCTTTTCCCTAGCTGCTCTCTTCACACCTGCTCCCAATCTGCTCGTTAGTCCTCTCTTTGTTCAGTCTACTAATAAATACTCTCCTTGTGCAGTTCCTCAGTGCTGGTTCCTCATCTTACCTTGTCTTTCCTCGTCTTGCCCTGGCTCCTCAGGATTGTTTTCCCCTGATGTCTCCATGGTTCTGTTACGGTTGTGTTACATTTTAAGTTGGATTTTGGATTCCTGCCTCTGTTAACTGTTATCTCTAATTAAAACTGCAAGAAGTCACCTCTGCATTTGGATCCTCAAACCACAACCAAACCCTGTCAAAAAGGGGTTCTACACAGTATGAATTGTAGGAGCATCCATTAAAAATGCACGTTAAATTTTTTTATACTTGTAAAAGAAATCATTAGGGGTGTTCTGATACAATATTTTCATTTCAGATACGATACTGATATTGCAGCTTGAGAACTGATCGATACAGATATAGATAGACCCGATATGATATAACCACAAATCATACATGCTTTTATTACTAATTTTATCCTGCAGAATGCTAGAAATATGATCAAAAAAATGAAGAACATTTGACAACAAGTATGACTTGTAATATTAACCAATGGGTTATAACAACTTTAAACAGAAGCAGAGAATTTCTATCAGCATGATAATATTGGAGATTTTAGATACAGGCTGATAAAAACGGAATCCAATTTGATTTGTAGGGGTGTCCTAATCTGACATTAATATCGGATATTGGACAGATATTAGCCCGTACTCTATAGGCTAATATCATTTCGATATCCAATACTATTGTCAGATTGGGACACCCCTACAAATCAAATGATCTAAAATTAAGTTTTAGGGGTGCAGCTGTGGTATGGAGGTACTGTAGAGAACATGACCCAGAGTATACAAGTCAAGTTCTGGCCCTTTTGACCTTTGTCAAATGTCTCTCCCCTCTCTTGTAACCCACTTTTCTGTTTGCATACTTTAAAAAATGAAAAAAATAAAGGCCATTAGAGCCTTAATAATAATTTTTAAAATCAAGTTTTAAAAGTATTATAAACTATTTTCAAGTGTGTGATTTTCGGGTGCAATAGTTCTGGAGGGTGTGAATATTTTACATGACATTGCAAGTATCAAGAAATTCCAGAGCAGTAAATTTGAAAATGTGGTAATGTGCAGGAATTTAAGCTTCAAACCTCTGATCTGGTTTGTGTTTTTCTGTTATTCCTGAATGTCAACACTAAATTTGTGTTTTTTACACATTTTTAATGCAGACCATTAAATCATACCTCAGGGTTTCAAAGGAACCCTAACAAATCTCTTCTGTTAAAACATTGTGAGCTAAGATCACCAAGAAGCATGAGGAGCAGCAAGTTGAGAGCTGGGCTGTCTTGTTTCCTTAACTTTGCTCCACATGTGGGACATAATAAACTAAGCCCTGCTTGGTTACAGGGAGGAACATTAAAGCAGTTAAAGTGTAATGAACACAAGCAAGAAAATAACTCATAAGATTATGGTGAACGACACCTGGTTTTAACTAAACAGAGGAGCTAAAGCTAAAAGGTCCCTCTTTGTAAAACTTAACTTTTAGTTGCTTTTATTCTCCTCATACTCAATTATAGCTCTGTTTTTAAAGATAAAACCTTTGCTTTTTTTTTGTTTTTTTGTGTAACAGAATATTTATGATGTCTGACCAATTCACTGTTTTACCACCTTTTATTAATATTAGCAGTATGTTCTTAAGCTGCCATGTATTATCAAAGATCAATTTCTCATGGGGATTCCTAAGTTTTAAACTACTTCTCCATCATAACGCAGGCTAAAGATGGGTCTGCTTAATTTTTTTTTTTTTTTGCTTTTTGAACTTTAATGTGTGGAACTTACCCTGCTGTTCATCTCTCACATCTGGTCCTTCATGGCATTTTATTATCTCCATCCTTTGCCGCTTTCTTTTTGTGCATTTTTTCAAGTCTCAGCAGAAATGTAGCCATAAAATGGGAAAGTAAAACCCATAAATACTTCTGTTCAAACCACAAACATCTTCAAGGTACTTTAAATGGTCAGGAAGGCAATTATTTAAACAGCCTACAATGAAAGTCAAAGAATTGAAAATGATCTGTGCTTATTTTTAGATTTATTTTCCAATTTACTATACTGTTGTTTTGTTTAATCAGTTTAATTTTATTTGTTAAAACACTCCTCTTCTATTGTTCAAGCCTGAAATACATGACTAAAAATCTGGTGGCAGCTTTTTAGTCCTTTTAAATTTAGGATTAGCACCACAGCGTAGAAAAACTTCTGGCAAGTGAAATTTTCATATGATTTTAATAATAACTTGGTGCAAAAGCAGAAATTGCAAAATTTTTCTTTATAAAGGAGTCTTTCATTTTAACTTTTTCTCTTAAAACTGAATATTATTAATGACAGCTTATGTGATCAGATGGGTCATTGTTCTAGCGTTTGTGCTCCAGTTAAATAAAAAGGCAATCCAGGCAGTTTTAGGTCTTTAGGTTTGATCATTGGTTTTGGTAAAACTCTTTCCACATCTATGATGAGAGCATTTAAGCACAAAAGTGTACTGAGACCTCAAAGAAACATGTTGCCCATGACCATGGTGTGTGTTGGTTTCTAGTGAGTGTGTTCATTTTCTGCAATAGATAACAGGCAGTTATGTTATTGTGTCCCCTACATGGCTTGTGGAAAACAAGATGTTTTGTTTTTTTGCCAAAATGTTGGCATTTCAGGACGATGGTTTTAGCAGTACCTTGGGAGATATTCAGCTATGGATATTGTCCTGTAAGCTAACCCTGCTTTGTAGTTGTCTAGCACATTCTCCCTGCTGCGTTCCTTCGTTTTCCTCCTGCTGCTGTTTATGCACTAATGTCCTCTAACAAACCCTGTAGGCTATCACAGAACAGATTGTTGACTCAATTCACATGACCTCAAAAGCCAACTGCTTAAAAAGGATAAAAAGGATTTTATTTTAGGGAACAGAGTAAATGTTGTTTTATGCTTGATGTGTCGTCCCCATAGTGCCGTTTGTAACTATGCAGACAGTTCATTCATCCATCCATTTTTCGTCACTCTTTATCACAACTGGGGTCCCGAGTTGTGCTGGTGCTTATCTCCATCTTTCAATGGGTGAGAGGCGGGGTACATCCTGGACAGGTTGGCAGTCTATCGCAGGGCAACACAGAGACAAACAGGACTTGGTTTCCAAGGTTTGAAGACGTTTCGCTTCCCCTCCAGGAAGCTTTCGAATTGAAATGTCATTTGAATTGAATTTAAAAATGACATTTGAATTGAGAAAGCTTCCTGGAGGGAAAGCAAAAAGTCTTCAAACCTTGGAAACCAAGTCCAGTGGATTGTTTTTAAAGTTTTACGGAATGACTATGACTATGACCTGGATGACGGAGAATCTTCATCAGCATAGGACAAACAACCATTCACAGACACACTCACACCTAAGGAGAATTTAGAGCAGGCAATTAACCTAACATTGATGTTTCTGGACTGTGGGAGGAAGGAGTACCTGGAGAGAATGCATGCATGCACATGGAGTACATTCAAACTCCATGCAGAAAGACCCCGGGCCAGGAATAGAACCTGGATACTTCTTGCTGCAAGGCAGCAGTGCTACCCACTGCGCCACTGAACAGCCTATGCAGACAGTTATGAATGTAAAAAAATGGCAGATGAGCGACAGCTCCCACTGGAGAGAAAAGGTATGCAAATATAAACATCTACTTGCATCTTATGATTTGGCCCATAAATATCGCCACAACCACCATAATGTGAGCAACTTTTGGAACAAAACCTCTTACACTTTTGGATGACACAGAGCAGCAAAATATATGGCCTGTGCCCAATGCTGCCCCCTAGAGTCTATAAAAGGAGTACAGCGGAGAAAAGCCATGGTTAGTTAACCTTGAATGCAAGATAAATCCTCACGGTATGTGTGCATTCAAAAACACACGAGAATCCTTCTTGTTCCGCTCTAGCTTTGATCATTTGACACCAGCCCAAAATGGTTCAGCCAATCACAATGCAGCATCATGGTTTAAGGCAGGGATGTGGAACTGGTTCCAGAAAGGGCCATGTGGCTGCAGGTTTTCTTTCCAACCGAGCAGTAGCACACCAGACTCCAGTCATCTCATTGAGTGGGTCCAATCTGAACGAGATGAGAGATGAGAGATGAGAGATGAGATCAAGTCTTGTGTGCTAATTTTTTGGTTGGAGAGAAAACCTGCAGCCGCACGGCCCTTTCTGGAATCAATTTGAAACGCCTGGTTTAATGCATAACATCTAGTTATGAAAAAGCAAGATATACTGAGCCCATAGCCGAACCAAAATAAACATGGCAGCACAGGATAACACACTCATAGAAGGGGTTATCATGTAGTCTGGGGTTCCAACACTGCTTCAAGTTTAAGTGTTTTGTGGTTTCTTATAATAGTGCCTGCAG